CTTCCATATTTTATTTATTGCATATAATTCAGGTGCTGCAGTAAGTACAGAATTACTAATTGTAATGGATTTTTGTTACACTTATCACTACAGTGTCTGAATACTTTTTAACCACCATTAATGAATCTTCACAATATTGCAGAGATTTTCTTCTCATTTCACTGATTAAAAGTGGGGAAAATAATGACAAAACTGTCAAAGTTCTCCACTGGGTCTATATTCCCCCAGAGGAAAGAAAAATTCTTTAAAATCTAGTTTTCCTAATAATTAGACACCCTATTCTAGCAATCATTTTAATTGTACTCAGGCCTTTAGATATGTATTTATTGCCAACATAACCTGGAGTTCAAATACTGTCTTCAAGCCATAGTCTGTGTATACAAACTCACCCTATCACCCCTCTCTTTGTTGGAGTTTGCTGAAAGGAAGCTTCACTCTTCTCTCCTGACAGATTCCTTGCTCTTGTAACCAGCTCAGGGAGCTTTTTCTGTGATTATTCCAGTTATCATGTGTCATTCTTGAATAGAAACTGTACCCAAAATTCTGTAAGAGAGCTGTTGCCATAACATCTGGATGTGCCTTACCTGGTCTTTAGATCCCATTTGTCACCTTGGTTTCTGTGACTAAATAACGCTCCTGAGTCTCCATCCTTCCCCAGCCGTGCTGAATTCCCAGGTTAGAGGAGTTTGGCTGTCAGCCCCCCTGTGAACAGCCTTGTGATTTGCATTAATCTCATGACTGCATTCCACCAGCCCATTCCTCAGGATTCCTGTGCTGTTCCAGAACCTCATCCAGGTCTCCATTCAGGATATTCCAGTCTCCTGACTGGTGCCTTTGCATGTTGTCAGTCACCACCTGCATTCGCACTCTTTCAGTTCCTTGTGCTCGTGTCACTTAAAGCCCATCAACAGCATCTCTAGCCCAGAACTTCCCATTTCAGCACAATCCAGCTCTGGATTTTTAGTCATTTTTCACCCACAAAGCTTCTCTTGCACTGACCTTCATATTTTCCAATGTAACTGGTGTTTTTACATGATGCACCGGACCAAACACTTTACTGGTTTGGGGATGGATGAGATCTGCTCTGTCTTCCTTTACCCAGAAAAATTTACTGCCCTATCAAAGAAAGACATCAGCTTTGCCATTATTGCAACCTTTGTTGTACTTTATCTCTTTACTTTCCTCAACATCTTTTCCCCCTCCTGAGGAAGAATAATTTCAGTTTTGCATCTCACTGAGGTCAGGTTAATTAGCCTCTCGTTGTTTGGACATTAGTTTCACCATCTTTGCCTTGATTTTGGGCTGGGTTTTTTCCTTTCTCCCCATAATAGGATGTCAAATTTAGATTATTTTTGTACCTCTAGAAGTGGTGGAAATGAATTCACTCATTTGCATCACAACTCAGCTGTAGTGCTTCGTGTTTGGGTTGGGTTTTGTTTATTGGTGGCTGTTTTGGTTTGTTCTTTTTGTTTTTTATTTTTAAAGAAAGTTGCTGTGCTGTGGCTATTTAACAGGTAAAAAAAAAAATTGGAGTATTTTAAGAGTTCTTTAAAGCATAATGATAATGAGCAGTTTCTTGAGCAATGATAGCTGAATCCAGGGCTCCGTTATCCTGTGGGATGCTGATAAGTGCCAGGGGCTCCTTGCAGCCCGTGGCTCAGCACTGCCCTGCAGAAGTTCTGCTCCTGCTGCTGCCTCAGCATTATTTACTGCTCTCAGCCCTGTGTTTACACAGAACACGAAGCGTGCTGGGCACTCTGCACACATGTATGAGGCAGTCCTGCACAAAATACTCCCTAAAAATAGACAAGGTAGGTGAAGCAATGTTTAGGCAGTGATTGCAGAGGGTCGGGCTGGGCAGGGAGGGCTGCAGTGCCCCCAGGGACTGCAGGAACCCAGGAAAGCCCGAGGTCAGTAACTATGTTTCCTGAAGCCGGGAAAGTAATCTTTTAAAATACTTTGTTTCATAATACTGTTAATTGCACCTTTTTCTGACAGCTGTAATGACTCTGACTCCTTCTGATCACGTTTCACTCAGGATCTAAATCTAAAGATTGGGATGCAAGCAACAACCGTTGCATGTTTGAATTTGGACTGGGTTTTTGGTTTTTTGCCAGATATACTCAATACTTTCATGAATATTTGAAAATTATGTCATTTTTACAATTCTTCAGTATGTCTGGAGCTCAGTTTTACAGAGGAAGCTCAGGCCAAAGCTTTTGTTTTAGTGAAAAATGTGTGTGATATCCCAGGCTCTACCAGCAGTGCTGTTGCTGAGGTGTGATCACGGGCCTCTCTCAAGGCAGAGATAACTGATAGATAAAAATGACCTCATTTCACAGTCCCAGAGCTGAACTCTGAAAGTTCCAGCAAAGCTGGTCAGAACGTGTTTGAATTTTTGTTTGTGAGTAAATGTCACCAAGGTCCCCACTTGTGACGTTCAGAAGGTGACTTCAGGCCATGTGAGCTCCAGGGGTGGAGGCCTGGAGCAGAAAATCCATCCCCACACAGGGACCCTGAGCATGTGGGAAGTCCCAACACTCCCGGGGTGGGGGGGCTGATTACAGAATTACAGAATTCAGATTGGAATTACCATTTATGTGAGGCTGCTGAAAGGTAGATAAGGACAATTACTGCTTGACCCTTTCTTGGCCAGTGTTTGCAAGCTGCTCAACGCCGCCGTGTTGATGTGGAATGTTGCGATTGTTTTGGGTTGTTCATTTTTTCAGCAGTTATTTGTGCCTGCCTTTGTACAGCTGGAATGAAGGGACGTTACTAAGTGTTCTCCCCATGGCATGAATATTTAATAGTTTGTGTGCTCCTTCTCTGTGTCGTGTGTGTCGATATAATACCAACAAAATCTCCTAAAGTCAGTTTCTGCAGGAGATTTTCAAAGCACATCATGTAACTGAGTCACGGTGCTGAGTAAACCACTATTGTAGAATTTCACCTAAGATCTGAATTTGCCAAATGGTGATATTTTGCAAATAAGCACAGATTCTGCTAACTTCCCCTTGAGATTTTATTCCAGTCTGATCCAATTTCCCAGTATGGATGAACTGGTGTCTCTTAGAAATATAGCAGAAATGTTTAACCTATTGAAAAGAGGATCTTCTTTGTTTCTCAGATGTGCAGATACTCATGTCCTGGAGCTCAGAGCTGCTCTGAGTGTGCTGGGCGGATCCTGTAAAGTGCTGAGTGCATGGCTAACTTTAAGGGAGTAGATCCTTAAAATCACCGGGGCTGCTGATGTTTAAAATTACGTAGAGACTTAAGTACTCTGATGGCCCCCGGCCAGTGGCTTTCACATCTCCCAGGACTGAGCCCTGAGGAGACGCGGTGATCAGCTGCAGCTCAATTTCCTTCTCCACTTTTAAATATAAGGTTTAAAGCCCAAATTCTGACAGCTGTTTAATTAAAGATACTCATTTTAACTGTGAGGAATGTGATATGCAGCGGCGCTATGCCTGCTTGCTTTCTTTCTGCCTCTCCTGGCATCCCAGCTCACTCCTCTCAGCGTTAGTGCAGGGCTTGCAGTTTTCACTGCTGCTCCGTTCCTGCTTTATCCTCTTCCATCTTTTCCATCTGCTTTATTCTGTTTGGAAAATGGCAATGTAGAATGTGTTTGGTGTAACCTTAATCCTGACCAGCATCTGGGCTCCGTTTGAAAAAAAAAAGCATCTACTGCAAGGAAGGTTTCTGTATATGTTTCCCCACTTTACTAAAACAAAGTTGGGGGGCGGGGAGGGGCAGAACCCAAAATAACCATGGCAAAATTATATTTATTTTAATTGACTTGTTAATTAATATGCGGGTTTTAATATGTTTTCCTGCCTCCATGGACAAACCGTGGGGTTTGTGCTCTCACCTCTGTCCGGGTGGGGGTCGAGTCAGAGGTAAACCGGATTTGGACCATTTTGGGCAAGGAGAGAAAGGGGGGAGGGGGGTGGTTATTTAAATCTGCTTTTAACAGCCTCGCTGCTAATTACTCCCAATATGTAAAAGTTAACGCCACCATAAACCACGGGATGCACTGAAATTCCTGCCTGATGCTTCCTGACGTTCCCCTGTTAAACTTTCCCAGGCCCGCAGAGGTCCCGGTGCGGGGCGGCTCCGTGGGACACGCCGGGACCGGGCAGGATGGGGAGCGGGCAGGACAGGGAGCGGGCAGGACGGGGACAGGGCAGGACAGGGACAGGGCAGGACAGGGACAGGGCAGGACGGGGACAGGGCAGGACAGGGACAGGGCAGGACAGGGACCGGGCAGGACGGGGACAGGGCAGGACAGGGACCGGGCAGGACAGGGAGCGGGCAGGACAGGGAGCGGGCAGGACAGGGACAGGGCAGGACAGGGACCAGGCAGGACGGGGACAGGGCAGGATGGGGAGCGGGCAGGACAGGGACAGGGCAGGACGGGGACAGGGCAGGACAGGGACCGGGCAGGACAGGGAGCGGGCAGGACGGGGACAGGGCAGGACAGGGACCGGGCAGGACAGGGACCGGGCAGGACAGGGACAGGGCAGGACGGGGACAGGGCAGGACGGGGACAGGGCAGGACAGGGGCGTCCGGTGCCCCCCGCCCGGGCAGGGCAGGGCAGGGCAGCTCGGTGGGGCCGGGGCCGCTCCCGGGGGCTGCTCGGGGCCGGCCCCGGGACGGGGCAGCGGCGGCCGCGGTTTGCGGCGGGGCCGGGGGCACCGGGAGCGGGCAGGGCTCGGGCACCGCGTCCCCCGCGGAGCTCAGGGTGCTCCCACAACACGGAGCCAGCTCCGATGCGGGGGTGGGACCGCTCCCACCCGGCCCCGCTGCGCCTCCCGGGGGGGCAGCCCCGACCCCCGAGCCCCCTTTTCCATTCCTGCTGCTGTTGGATTTCCCCGAGCCGCATCTGCTCCGCGCTCCCAGCCCGGGGCTCTTGAACTTCAGTCCCCGGCCGCCACAGAGGTCGCTTCTGAGCTCCGCGCGAAGCCTTTTTTTCATTCATTATTTATTTATTTCCCCCCAGCTCAGGCTCTCCCTCCCTCATGGCCGGAGTGGAAAAGCACGTTTAAATCCCGAGCTCGGCTTTCCCACGTGGTGTCTCGCTGAGCTGCTGTCACAGCCACGCCGCGCTCTCACAGGGCACCGGAGCTTCTCCCCTGCCCTGCCGGGAAGGCACAAGGTGATGAACGTTTTTAATCAAACCGTATTTTCGGGACACCTCACTAAACCCAAAACTTGTGCTGAAAAATTCTCGCTCGCCTCGTGATCAGGCTCTTGCTTTTTAATTCCACCTGGACGGAGTGTACAAATAGCGAGGGGATTGGTTCTGCTCCCCCTTCCTGGGTGCCTGCTAAAGGGATGGGTGTTTGTCAGCGATTTGGGGGTTAATTCAGACAAGTTTATTTCACATTCTGGGTCTGCATACACGCAAAGAGCACGAGTGGTTTGGGGTGAAAGATTAGCAGCGTGTGCAGGGGGACAAAACCAATTGTGGATGTGAATATGGGATGTACTGGATGTGTGTCTAAGCATTAAATCGAGGGGGGGCTGGGTTTTAGGTGACTTTTCACCCCATTCCGAGATCATGGTCACAATGCACCGTGTTTCAACACTCACTGGGCAGAAAGGGACGCGGAGGGGAGGCAGGGCAGAACCCCAAATTGCGTCTGGGCTTCAGACCGCGCTGCAATCTCTCAGGGAGGGTATGCCCAGCCTTTAATTATTCCGTTTAAACAGGCCTGGAGCACGCCACATTTTTAAGGCCTTTTCCCTGGTGTCTCTAGGAGGCAGCCTTCATCGAGCGAGGAGAGCGAATCTTGGCAAAAAGAGCACCGAAGGATGTGAACCCCTTGGAAAATTCCACTTCCTGCCCAGCACTGCGTGTCCTTGGGTCTCTCACTCATTCCCATGCACTTAACGAGGGATTTCTGCCTCAGGCTACCACACCAACTTTCTAAATAAATGCCGCGCACACCCGAGCGCGGTGCTCTGCAGTTAATCTCAGCCCAGCACCAGCTCTCTCCTCTCTTCCTACTTCCCTCCATTTTATTTCTCCGCTGGTTTTTCTCTCCAGCAGGCTCCAACTCTCTCTCCTGCTGAACTTGCCGGGAACAAAAGGCTCCGTTCCCGATCCAGCCCGCAGTTGCCGTGAGAAACTTCCTCGCCAGCGCTGTCTGTCGCTCCGCTCTCCCTCCCTCGCTCCCTCCCTGCCTCGGGAAAATGGCAGTGCGAGAGCTTGATGAAAAGGGGGAAAAAAACCCTTCTTTCTCAGCGCCTGCCTCTCCCGCAGCACCCCCCTCCCCAGTCGTGACGCCTGAACTCAAACTTCTCTAAAAATACACTTTAGGAGGGTAGATTTTCACGGGAGGGGATGTGTTTTTTACACCCCACTGAAAAGAGGCACCGAGGTGGGGAAAGGCCGAGGGACAGCTTTTTCCAGACAGGAGAACCTGCAGCAGACCCCTCCCGCACGGCATCGCCAGGTCCCAAGGATTTGGAACACAATAAGTTTTCCTTCAGTGGGAAAATCCAGGCCCAGAGTTCAGATCTTTCTCTTTTTTCAGATTTAAAAGCCTTTTTTTCCCCCCTTTTTTTAACTCTTCACAGTGGGGTTCGCAACAGAAAGTGGTCTCTCTGCCAACCCACCCGAGAGCTCCCAAATCTGGTGGGATTCAGGGAAAACAGAAGCTTGGCTCCGGATCCAGTGCAGGGGTTTTTGCAAACTCCGGTCCGCGTTTTGATTTTCTTTTTTGCCCTTTTTTTCTTTTTCTTTTTTTTTTTTTTTTTCAGTAGATTTACTCTTCCTTCCCCGAGCGCACCGGAGCGCTACTGTCCGAGGGCAGCCGGGGTGCACCCCCGGGTACACAGAATAAACGGGGTTCGTCTGTCCCTGCACTTCACTATTGTTTTCCTGCCCTTCCCGATATCCCCCAGTTTTCCCTGGAATCACTGATTTCCACCCCCACCCTTACTTTCACTGCGGGGTGAGCGCTGCTGTCCTCGCTCACCCCCAACCCGCACACGTGTACCCCCAAAATTTGCCGTGTCCCGCTTTCCCCCTCTGGGGTGCCTCGGTGCGGGCCGGGGGCGCGGGACACGCGCGGCCCCAGCCCCGGCTGCCCCCGGCCCGCGGGGGTCGCGCAGGATGCGCGGGGGCTGCGCTCCCGCGTCCCTTCCCCTCCGCAAACTCCGCTTCGCTTTTTCCTCCTCCTCGCCAGTGCTGCTAAAATAATGCATTTCCTCGAGTCAGGCCGAGTCCACTTTCCTGCCTTAAAATGCATCCAAAGTTTCGCAGATCGCTGTCAGATGGCACCAGCGGGCTCTCGCCGGGGCTCGCTCCCTGCCCGGGGGAACCTGGCGTGGGAAGCAGCAAAACCCCTGGAAAACCCACGCCTGCCTTTGAGCTGCTGCATTCGGCAAAGGGACAGAGTTACCTTCACCTGGCAGAGCCATTGTGTCTCCCCAGAAAGCGAGATTATACAATATTTTAGCATTTTGTTGAAGGGGATAAGTGAGCGTTGTCTCGCACGATGCCCGGCAAACAAATAATTCAAATAATATCAGTCTTAGTGGTGATGGAGCCACAAGGAGAGTGCTTAACCCAGATACAACAAACGCTGCAAGGAATAGGCTGGGCAAATATAAACACATTGAAAGGAAATGTGATTTTCTTTAGCAAAAATCCTATAAGGGAAGCTGAGGTACAGCCAATAACCCTCCCAGCTCCGTTCCATCTTTTGCAGGGCGCCCCATGGACTATAATAGATGGGTCTCTTGTTCTCGGGTCCAGCGTGCACACCCCGCACGCCCGGTGCGGTGCGGGGGAAGAGCATCCTTCCCCATCCCCACACAGCTCCATCCGCTCCTGCCCAGCTCCCCTCGCTCTGCCCCGCTCGCTCCTTCAGACTTTATCTCGGGAGCCGCAGCCGGCTCCGGCAGCCGGATCCAGTCCGTGTTTGTAGCCAGGGAAAGGCTGGATAATGATAACTTGTGTGTGCGAGCTGAGCCGAGGCAGCGCTGACTTTAGTCCGGTTTCCATGTCAACGATTCAGTCCATATTTGCCATCACACAGTTGGCAGAGCCCGTTTTTTTTTTTTTTCGTGGAGGGGGGAGACACTACTCCTGTTTCTAGTACTCTAATCTAGACCAGGTTTCCTAAACTGCCTTAGTGCTGGGTTAAATGGCACGGCCACCTTCATGAAGGAGACTTCCAGTCAGGAGGAGGCAGCGCGGTGGCGGTGGCCTGCAGTGCCATGTGAGCGCTGCTTCCCAGCCTATCTGAGAGCCAGGAGCCGGGCCGGGCTGAGCGAGGCGTGCTCGGCTCTCGGGGACACGGGCAAGGGAGCACTGCCGAGCAGGGACGGCTCCGGCTGCCGAAAGTGAGGATGCGCCGCAGGGAAAAGTCGCTGCCGGTGCCGTGGATGGCCGCGACAGCCCGGGACAGCGGGAGGATTGTCAGCTCTTAGGTGGCAATGTTGTTAAGAACTGTGCTGTCATCTGCTTCCCGGTGCTCATGGCTGGGAATTCACTGAATGCCTCAGTATTGAGTAAAGTGCCAGGGCCTCATTGATGAGGCGTATTCCAAAATCTGCTGCAGCTTTCACAAACATTTGGTAAAGTGAGTGTCTCCTCATTGTGTGGGTGGCTGGGGAATCCAGGCTGCTTTTCACATTACTATCAACACCGGGTTTCATAGTCTGACATAGTGCTCCTTGGAGGGGGTTCCAAAAGACGGACTCAGGTAGAGAGGTGTGAGCTCGGGATCTTTGCCTGGACGCACCCGAGCTGCTTCCCAGGCTCCTGGAGTGAAGGGGTTAAACTTTTGGTGATGCTCAGTGAGACGGGGGGCTTTGCTCCCTGAAGAGGACCTATTCTTGGGGCTGGGGAGGTGGGGGCTTGAGATGGTTCTGGGATAAAATGGCAGAATTCTCTCCAGTTCGTGCTTTTTAAAGTTTAGTGCCAATGAAACACCCAAGGAATGGTGTTTTGGTGCTGTGGGCACCATGGACATTAACAGAACACTGGGATTCACTTCTGAGAGTCCAGCCTGATACTGGAGGAGTGTTCCCCCTCTTCTCCTTTGTCTTTCCAGAACCCAGGATTTCATCAAATAACTCCTCTGATAAGAGGATGTAGATCAGTTCTCATTCTAGTACATTCTGCAGTTTCCAAACTCTTCTGAGGAAGAATATCTTGGTGTTTTTCCTTCTCTGTGGTCCACACATATCTCACTAAAGCCACAGGGCCTCCCATGTGAGATTCAGCATGGTACTGGGGCTCCAAACCTTAAGAAGGCCTTGAGTACTATCACAATACCAATATCATAATTTATTACCTATTTTTTCCTAATAGTTTATTTACAGCTGAGGAGAAAGCTGACCAGCCAATTTGCTGGATGGAATCTGCTCCATATTGCACAGTCAACTGTGCAGGCTGAGAAATGGCAAAGGTGCTTTGTTTGGAGCCTGAGGGGCAGTTCCTTGCTCTAGAAAACACTTAGAGTTTTGCTATTTATCACCATATCCCACTTCCCCTCCCACTTCCCAGCTTTGGAATAACCCCTTTGTTCCTCCACCTGCACTCTAATGATAAATATTTCATATTACAAGTTTTATAACGGGTGTGAGGGCTGAGTTGCTGTCAGTAGACGCTGACACATTCACCTGATCCCCGGCAGGGACACGGTGCTGGCAGGGACCCAGTCCTGCTGCCCCAGGCCTCTCCTCCTGCGCTGGACTGGCGTTTGCTCCCTCCCAGAGGGATTCCCTGTGGTGTGTCCTGCTGGGTGCTGGGCTGGGGCCAAGCCCTGTTTGTTGTCCCTGCACAGGGGTCACTTCTGCCACATTATCTGTTCTGTGGTGATGTTCTAAAATGGCAGCCTCAGACCTCAGAGTCTCTTTTGGCTGCCCACCTACTGTTTTCTGATGTTTTCTCTTATCTTAAAGTTGCATTTACTTCAACTTCACTTTTCTAAGTATTTCCATATTCCAGAGGAACACCAGTACATGGGACCCAGGCCTAAACCACACCATGCCTGCCATTTTTACCAGATATCCATGTCCTGATTTCTAAGAACTCAGTGTTTATAACCCAAATAACTCATCTTTGTGTCCCTCCTGCGCCCTGCTGCAGCCCTGCACCACCTGAAGTTAAGCAGGCGGGTTCAGACCCCCTGGCACAGGCCAGGCTATGTCCAGCACAGAGCTCCAGGTACATTGCTCTCCTCCCTCTCCCCGCTCTGCCAAGGGCTCGGCATGGAGGAGGAGGAGGTGGGAATCTGGGTCTGAAAGGGTTGCAGAAGAGCATGGCCCAGTTCCCAGTTCACCTCTTGACAGGCGGGGAGCTCCAGCCCGGCGCTGGGCTCTGACTGCCAGCGCATCCTGTCCCGCTGCCCAACGTGTTGTGTCTAGATGCGCTCAGGTGGTTTTGGATCTGGGAATTCCTGGTTCCGTGCCCACCGCCCTCGCCTTGGCAGGAGCGGGGAGCCGGACTTTCTTGGATTGTCCGCGCGTGCAGTCACAGCCCTGGCGCGCCGCCAACGCCTTTTCCAGAGGGACACGGCCAAGCGGAGAGGAAATGACAACCGCTAACAGTTCGCAGAGGGCTTAATTCTAAATGGAATTTCTAGGGACAAAGAAGAGGCGCTTGGGTAACCCACGGGCAGAAACCCCGGGGCCGGCGGCCGCCCAGCGGCCAGCACGCCCCCGGAGCGCCCGGGCCGCGGGACATCGCCCGCTGCCCCCGGGGATCGCCCCGGGCGGCTCCGGCCCGGCGGGGGAGCGCTGCCCCCCGGCCCCCGGCTCCGCCGATCCGCCGCGGGTTTTGCGGGCGGCAGCTCCGCGCCGGCGGCGGCCGGGGCCGGCCCGCTCCTCCTTTGTGACGGGGGGGAGGCTCCGCTCCGGGCCGGGCTGCGCTCCGCTCCGGGTTTGGCAGGCGGCCGCGGCGCTGGGTAAAATGGCAGCGCTGAGCCTCGTGTCGGACTGAGCCCGCTCGGCCGAGCAGAGTCGGAGCTCGCCCAGCCCGG